CATATACATAATGAAAAACATATTTTAACAGAAAATTTGGGGGAAAACATGATAATGACAATGTATGCAGAAAACATTTGACAAAATTTAACAGTTATTCATGATCAAAACTCTCAGAAAACTGAAGAGAGCTTCATCAAAATGATGAAGGGCATCTATGAAAAACCTACAATTAATAACATACTTGACGAAAGTTTTCCCCCTAAGATGAGAACAAGACAAAGCTGTTTGTTCTCACCACTACTATTAAAACTGTATTGAAGATACTAGCCATTGTAATGGCTAGAAATAAAGGAAGAAAATAAAAGGCAAAAAGGTCGGAAAGGAAGATATAAAACTGTCTTGTGGAGATGATGATGAACTACCATAAACTTAACCAAGTTATAGCCCTAGTTGAAGCTGCCATGCTGGATGCTGTACCCACTACAAGAGATTAGCACAACCTCTGGCACTTGGTACATGGCTATTTTTCTACTGAATACATTTTTCAATTGCCATCAAAAGAATTAAAATTAGTATGCATTCACTTGCACTGAATATCAGTACACATTCACAGTCTTGTCCTAAGGCTATGCTAACTCTCCTCTTCCCAATGACGAATAGTCCGAAGGGACTATTAATCATCTGAATAGTCTACAGAATATCTCAATGGTCCATTATACTGATGACATGTTGTTCAGACCTGCGAAGAAGGAACTGCCTGAGAAGTACACTGGGAGCCCTAGTAAGACACACGTGATAGAGAGAAAAATATTACAAAGAGTAAGAAGCTTGTCATATCAGTGATTTTTAGGGGTCCAGTGATTGTGGACATGCCAAGACATCCCTTTCAAAGTAAAAAACCAACTTACTACAGCTTGTATCTCCTAACACTAAAGAAAAAAGCAGACAACTTGGGTTTGTCTTTCCTGCCCTTAGTGACTCAGCAATTAGTACTATCCAAGGATTCAAGGACTGTCTAATTATGTCATTATGCTATCCCACATAACACTGCCTTGGACAATAGAACCAAAAAACTTTACAGTGGAAGAGGGGCAACAAAGGTAACATGATCGTACAATCCACTGGTCCTACCATACATGGTGAAAGTACTGAAATGATCTCTTAGAAGTGCAAGTAAGGTGTCAACTCCTTGTTCTTCGAGATTCTTCAAGATGTACTATATACTTTGAACAGTGGCAAACAGGTAAAATTTAACAGGTTCCTGAGAACAAGAGGTAGAAGTAGGAATGGATTAAGAATGGCCCTGGTCAGTGACATTCTTCATATCTAGAGATCCTGGTTCCCAGAGGAAGTAAACTTTTACTGGACACGGTAAGGGTTCCACAAAACCTAAAGCTATGACTTCTTTCCAGTCAACAAGCAACAGTTACTACACTAGCAAAGATAACTGATGATGATTAACAAAAGGAGAGAGGGCAGCTATGATATAATTGAAGAAGCATGGAATATCTCTGGAACTCATGGGATTCAGTAGGACATCTCCTGTACTTTCATGCACAGAGATAATACAAATGAACTATTGCAACAATCACAAACCTGACAAAGGTAGAGTAACCAGGGGTCCAATCTCTCAGGGATGAAGTTCTGGATTACTCTCCGGGCAAGCAACCTCTACCAGCCATTGTAGTGTCAGGAAAACCTGCAAAAAGACTGTAGATTGTCAATAACCCTCATGTTGTACATATTTGTTTTTATAAATTTTCACCAGATACACCTTGAAAACCAGGGATGGGATACAGTGAACAAAAGATCTGAGATGTGCAATAGATAGGCTGTAGTGCATGACATTAGTGTTCCACACTTAGACCCTAAGGCCTTATCATTGTAGCTTACCAGCCCAACTTCCAACTGGCAATGGCAACCCACTTTGCCTGCAAACACCAAAGACTGAAAATGTTTAAGAATTAGTGCCCTCTGCCCCAGAAGTAACTCTCCACCAATGACTGTTAAGAGTTGGAATGTAAATGCCCCAGTTTATTTGTTCCTTGTTTGAATAATTCTGATGTGCTTTTCAACTGACTCTCAGAGTTTTCCAACATGATTATGTTCCAGTTACCCACAGTGGTAACTAGTTTGATAATGTACCATTTATATGCTGCCTTTCCTGTTCTGTCTCACTTCCCCACTACTAGTATAGGATCACCTCACAAATAAACTACTTCCACATTAATCTTTCTATAATGAAAACTCAAACTAAGACAATAAAGGAATTTGTCAAAGTTAGTGGATACATGATCAACATACAAAAATCAATTGTGTTTCTCTCTATCAGCAACAAATAAGAAATAAAATTTTTAAATGACATTTCTAAAGGTATCAAAAAACATGAAATAACTAGAAAAAATCTAATGAAAAAATTTGCAAAACTTCTGATTGTACACTATAAAATATCATGAAAAGAAATTTAATTTCTCTTCCTATAATAGTAAGACCTAATAAGTGCAGGGATGTTTCATGTTCATGGATTAGAAGACTCACTATCGTAAAGATGTCACTTCTCCCCAAATCAATCTATAGATTCAATTTAATCACAATCAAAATTCCAGAAGGCATTTATTTTGCTGACATTGAAAGGCAGATACTAAAATGCCTTAAAAAATAGAAGGAACCAGGGCCAGACCCATGGCCAAGTGGGTAAAGTTCCACATGCTCTGCCTCAGTGGCCCAGGTTCTCAGGTTTGGATCCTGGGCACAGACCTACACCACACATCAAGCCATGCTATGGTGGCGACACACATACAAAGTGGAGGAAGATTGGCACAGATGTTAGCTTAGGGTGAATCTTCCTCAGGGGGAAAAAAAAATACAAGAAACCAACAATAACAAAATAATTTTGAAGAGCAATAAAGAATATGGAGATCTATTAAAAAGATGGAGTAATTAAGACAATGTAGTATTGGTGCAAGGAGACACAAGCCTACTAATAGAACAGAATAAAGAGTCTAGAAACAGGACCAGACATATAGAGCCACCCGATTTATGACCAAAGTAACAATACTATGCAATGAGGAAAGGATGGGTTTTCATTAAATGGATCACTGTGTTTGAGCACAACTCTCATTCAAAAATTGGAAGACACTAAACTACACAGACATAAGGTTAACCTCTAGGAAACCAGGCTTACAGAGAAAAATAGGAATTCTTTTAAATCAGCAGCAGCATAACATGGAGAAGACCCATTTCAGAGATTTAGCCAAGACAAGTTACTAAACAAATAATAGGACAACCTTCAAAAGGAAAATAATCAGAATTCAGAGTTGCTATACTAACTAAAATGTAAAATTTTCAACAAAAATTATAGGACAGGCAAAGAACCATGAAACTGTGACCCATTCTCAGAAAAAAAAAAAATCAGTCAATAAAAATTGAGTGTCTCAGTATTGGATTTAGTAGACAAAGATTTCAAAGCAGGTACTATAAGTGTTTAAAGAACTAAAGGAATCTATGTTTAAAGAATCAATGGAAAATATGGCAACAATGAATCAACAGATTAAAATTCTCAATAAGGATCCAAAAATTTTTTTAAATAAAATATACATCCTGGAGTGGAAGAATACAATAATTAAATGCAAAACTCTTTAAAGGAACTCAACAGCAGATCAAGGTTGGCAAAAAAAAGAATAAGTGAACTTGAAGGGAGGGCAATAGAAATTATCTATTCTGAAAAACAGAGACAGGATAGACTTACCATATGACATAGCAGTTTCACTCCTAAGAACCGACCCAAGAGAAAGGAAAATAGATGTCCACACATAAATGTTCAGAGCAGAATTTAATAGCCAATATCTGAAAACAATCCAAATGTCCCTCAACTGGTGAATGGATAAACTAAATGTGTTATCCACATCTACTGAAAAATAAAAATTAATGAACTATTGACAAATGCTATGAAATGGATAAACCTAAGTGAGAGAAGCCCAATGCAAAGACCAACGTATCATGTTTCCATTTATATGAAATGTCCAGAAAAGGCAAAATTATAGTAACAGAAAACAGATCAGTGGTTGCCAAGGGCTGGGGACAGAAGCAAAGAACTGCAAATAGGTATGAGAGTACTTGCTAAGACAATAGAAATATTCTAAACTCGATTGTGGTAATATTTACAAAATTCCATTTATGTACTAATAATCATTGAGCTCAATGGGTGAATTCTGTGGTGTCTAAATTATACCTCAATACAACTTTTAAAAATAAAGTGTTATCAAAAGATCGGCTACTTACAAGCAAGGCTTGCTTTACTGTATTTCTTTTTCTTACCCCCTAAGACACTTAGCATACAGTTATGCACATAACAAGTCCAGAGAAATATCTGTTAAATAAATCAATGAATAAGATAAAGTATCTCCCCTTCTAACAAAAATAATAGAATAAAGGGTTTCTTCTCTCTGAGAACTGGTAGAATAAAGGGTTTCTTCTCTCTGAGAACTGGTAGAGGCATGGCAGGGAAGAATAAGGCATGAGGCTTTCGTTAAGATTCTCCTCAATCATTTTGGAGAAAACTGTTCTCTTCATTTGAATTATCTAGATATCCTTAGATAAGACCCTAATTCTGCTACATTATTATCTGTATTTGAATTTTTAAAAATAGTTTTACCATGAGGATATGAGAAATGTTAGACAAAATAGAACATTCTTATTTATGTATTTGCTTTTACAATCAAAACTTTAAATTCCTTATCAGTAGTAATACTGGATTCTTATATTCATACTACAGTGATGTGTCACATAACATTTCAGTCAATGACAAATCACATATACGACAGTGTATGATTAGTACCATATAGCCCAGGTGTGCAGCAGTCTACACCATCTAGGTTTCTGTAAGTGCACTCTATGAGGTTTGCACAAGGATGAAATCACCTAATGACGAATTTCTCAGAACGCGTCCATGATGTTAAAGACACATGACTGTATAATGGGCTTGATATATTTCATTGCTATGTAACAAAAATAAGAAATTTCATATAATAATATTGATGGCAGAAAATATCTCTTACGTCTTCTACTTCTGAACCATTGCTTGTATTTGCTTGCATTTTCTCTGGAAATATAACTTGTATAGATGAGTTCTGAGAACCTGAAGAAAGCCAAAAAAAAAAAAGCAGTTAATAACTGTGTCTTAAACATCTGTTCAGGTTCTTTCATAAGATTCACTTATGCAAGTATGAGTCATCACTGTGTACTCCTATAAAAAATCTTGAAAATACTTAATTTAAAAACAGACAAAATAGTTAAGAAAGACCAAAAAAGGTCAGGGGGAAGTATTCAACTTACACAAAATTTGCTATTTCTGAAGAAAATAGAACAAATACACCAAAAAATAATCAAAAATATACTTCAAGGAAACTTTCCTGAGGGGTCAGCCCAGTGGCACAGTGGTTAAGTTTTCACATTCTTCTTCAGCGGCCCGGGGTTCACTGGTTCAGATCCTGGGTGCGGACCTACACACTGGTTGTCAGGCCATGCTGTGGCAGGCGTCCCACATGTAAAATAGAGGAAGCTGGGCACAGATGTTAGCTCAGGGCCAGTCTTCCTCAGAAAAAAGAGGAGAATTGGCAGCAGATGTTAGCTCAGGGCTAATCTTCCTCAAAAAAAATAAAAAGAAAACCTTCCTGAAATAAAAGATTTGAAACAATAGACTGGAAAGTACACTGCATTTCAGCAATACCTGTTAATAATTAAAACTGAGACATATTCTACTAAAGTTACTGGATGTCTAAGATAAAGAAAGAATCCTATGGGTACACGAGCAAAAAGAAAAAACCATATTGGTCATTACAGGAGAAAATAAGGCTGGCGTGAGCATTTTTTACAACAGTATTCAATGTTAAAAGACTGAAGAACAGTGTCTTAAAAAAAATCTTCAAGAAAAGACAGTGTGGCCCCAGGAATTTTATACCCAGAAAAACTGTTATTCAAATATAGAAGTAAAAGATAGACATTTATAAGCAAAAACTCAAGGAAAATAGTCTGCATGTGCCTGTCACAAAGGGCAGACAAACTTTTCCCAATAAATACATCCATAAAAGGACCTCACAGTGAGCATTAAATAAACTTAAATATAGAATAAAGGCTAAAACAACTGTGGGAACCATAGTCCTTTAATAGGATGTAATGTCATAAACTATGACTATATAGACACACTAACATGCACCATAACGTGTAGCAGAAGAGGAATACCATATGTGAATACTGATTTTCTGAAATTTATAGCTGTGTGGTAAAAAAAACTGTGACTTAAAGCTGATTAAATAGTCCAAACTAAGAAAGATCATACACAAGGCACCCAGAAAATAAATCAAAAAGTTACAGATTTTTACAGTGAAATACTTTTTATCAAAACAAAAGCATAAAATCAGAAAAGTATGACATAAATAAGAAGCACTAAGATTAAAAATCCTAGTCATATCAATAAATGTATGTAGGATGAACTCAATGAGAAGAAAAATTCTCAAACTGGATCCACAAAATCAAAACACACATACCCAGACTTTCTATGGAATATTTAAACACTGGCTCTGAACTAATACTGGTTTTTGAGGACCTAAAATACCACTGTAGTTCACTTCAGGAAAAGACGTATGCTTTCAAGGAGAAGTCAGTGATGAATGGAATTTAGGTTCCATTGAACCCAAATGGGTCTACAAGTTTCTCCTATCATAATTTGCCCAATTATGGAATAGTGTGTGGAAACAGATATAATTAGTAACTTGTGGAATCCCCATCTTGTCTCCTTGACCCATCAGACAAGGATTATTATGGTAGAGAGGGCCAAATGGAAGCCTCTGAATATCACCTGCACCATCATCAAAACATTAAGTCAAAAGTCCTTCTGAATCCAGAAAGTAGTCCCACCATGAAAAGAATTGAAATATACAAGGGCAGGGATTCCTATTATATTTCCATTTTACTTATTTGATCTGTGCAAATGATAGATAAGCAACAGAGAATGACAATGAGTTGTCTTAAGTTTAATCAGGTGATGACTGCAATAACAAATATTTTTCCAAATATGGCCTCTTTGCTGAAGCAAATCAACACAGGCATTGGCACCTGTATGTAACCATTGATAGTGAAAGGTGCTGCTTTCTTTCTATCAATAAGCAGAGAATTCCAGGAGCAAGTGTGCATTTTCGCCTCACAGTGATGACAGAATACCTTTACATCCATATTGCCTCAGGTCTTTATCATCTCTGGTTCTGCTTCTACCTGGGTCCTAAACATCTCAATATCTGTGGGTAGAATAATCCCTCCCAAAATGTCTATAGGCTATACAGTATGTAGCCTCTGGACCATTCCAGATTAGGGTGGATTTAGGAATCCAGTGACAGGTGTCCTACAAGAAGAGAAGGGGAGAAGACACACAGAGGAGAAGGCAATACAAAGACAGAGGCAGAGGTTGGAGTAATATGTGTACAAACCAAGGAATGCCAAGGATTGCTGGCGGCCACCAGAAGCTAGGAAAGAGGATGGAATGCATTCTCCCTCAGAGCCCCAGAAGGAATCACCACTGCCAATCCCTTGATTTTGGATTTCAGGCTTCCAGAACTGTAAGGGAATAAATTTCTGTTGTTTTAAGCCACCCAGTATGTGGCACTTTATTATGACAGTCACAGGAAACTAATATAGTATATAAGTATATCTCTTTTATGAAAGTTTCTAGCTCATCACTAGACTCTGATAGAGGTTAAAATTCAGACCGTGTGATACTATATGGTCTTGCAACCTGAGCCACTCTTCACAGACTGACATCATCAGACATTCCCAGGAGTACTCATCAAATGTTAAGTGTTATATATAAGATTGTGTTTGAACGGATCCTGAAAACTTTAAGTTGCATAACCAAGTAATTCATATTCTGGTAGGTCTACTCCTATCACAATTCCATCACTTCTTAAAACCTGCATTCATGGTTTCCTATGATCAGCTAACTGAAGGAGGAAAAATAGGCGCACGAGATGCCAATAATACTCAAAGTCAGTCAACTGGTATAACCTTACAAACCCATTTATACTTGGCCCCAAAAGAGAGTAGACAAAGGAAACGCTTCCAGCAAGTGGAATTTCAGGTGATACACTTATCTGTCTAGTTCTCCTGTATAAGGAATGATTATATTAAATGAGGCAGAAAAAAGTTATTTTTTGTGTTGTTTCTTGAAAGTTTAAGAATGGTAAGAAAGATGAATATGAATGTTAAGTAGCACACCTAGAGGTGGACTGTGGGATACTGTTGATGGGTTCAATCATTCTACCTACTTCAACCTTGTCTCCCTCTGCTATCTGAGGGTGGGAACCAAATAACTCATATACCAGACTCCGTTGCAGTTAGGGTAGAGTATATGACTAGGTCCTGTTACTCATACACCCAGATAAGACTTAGATGCAGAAGCGAGCATTGTCAGGTTGTAGTCACCTGTGAAGATTTGGTCCTGCTGACGTATGTGGTGATAGAATCGTCTGGTCCTTTTGGATCGCTGGGACAGAGATTAAAAAGTCTACAGGAATTTTTTGAAACAACACAAGATGATTCTAAAGTTCATATGCACAAAAAATAAACAATTAGAACTTGGCCAAAAATTTCTGATGAAGAAAATTAAAGAAGAGGGACACAGCTAGGAATAGAAGGAAATTTCCTTAACTAGAAAAAGAGAATTAGAAAGCAAACATAAGAAATTATTTTAATGATGAAACACTAAGGAGAATTTCAAATGAAGCTGGATAAAGAAGTCTATTATCACTGCCATTTTAAAAAATGTTTTGAATGCCCTAGTTAATATGATAAGATGATAACAAGAAAGATGTGGTATAAATACTAGAAAGGAAAAGACAGTACGTCATAATTTGCAAATGATATAACTATTTAAAGTTCTTAGAGAATCAACAGAAAAAGTCTAAACTACTATAATTAAATAACTGAATTAGGAGTCATCAAAAAAATAATGGAATAGAATATACGAAAAGGTAGCATTTCAAATCACTGGGGGAAAATATTCAATGGATGGTGAACACCCATTTAAAAAATAATTAAGTTGGATTCCTACGTGTGTGTGTGTGTTGCATATGTATTCAAACGTGTACAATTCAATTCAAATATGTATTTTGAATATCTATATTCAAAACCCAAAAGTCAAAAGATAAACATATTTTAATAAATAGAAATATTTTTAAAATCCTTAAAGACATAGCAAAGATTGGAAGAAAATACATACTATGGAAGACAAAGGATTAACATCCATAATGTGATTTCTGATTAAAGATAGCTAACTCACCACATGTTTCTCTGTTCTCTCAACCAAAACCCTTCTAAAAGTATAAAAACGAAAGGAGCTATCAGCAAATAAGAGGTTTCAACAATTTTCCAGAAGGCGAACTAAAAATCAAAGTGGTATAATTCTTGAGAGATCCTAGAAAAACTCCAAAGAATTTCAGAAATCAGATGTGGTAAGTACACTAGAAGGTAAGAGTAAGACATAAGCCAAAAAAGCTTAACTGAAAGTCTCTATACAAGACTCAGTTTTCATAGGCCACAAATTCAAGTGTGCCAAAAATACAACTTCCTTTTTCTTTACCTTGTATGACTAAGCCTATAAGTAGACTCTTACAAAAATGGCTACAAGAATCTCCCTCCCCATATTCTCTCCCATTGGTAGACCTCTCATTAACTCTAGACTTAGCCATGTGACTTATTTTGGCCAATTAGATAATAACAAATGTAACACAGGCAGACTTGAAAAGTGCTTGTGCACTGTGGCTTGTCCTCTCACTGCCTTAGAATCCTGAAATCACATGTAAACGAGCCTGAGCTAGCCTACAGGAGGCTAAGTGACCACTTGAAAGGGAACCAAAGCACCCTAGCTGAACAGATTCCAACTGACAGACCAGTGTCTCAGCCCATCCTAGATCATCCAGCTGCCAACCAACCCAGGAGCTGACGACACATGCAGGAAACAGCATAGCCGAGCCAGAGGTGAGTTAAGCCAGTCTAAACCTGAGAACAGCACAACCAACCTACAGAATCATGTGATAGAATAGAGAATGCTGGAGGTGAAGGTCAGTTTTAAATAAGGCAGTCAGTGAA